TACGCAGTTGAGATACGATGACATGTGTCAACCAAGTCAGCTTGCCTGACCACCCAATCCGTGGGTCCCCTCTTACAAGCAAGGGCTGCTGGAGACCAATCCTAACCCGGATCTTCATGAGAATGCCATTGGCACGTAAGTATGTGGGTGTGTGAGTGAGTGAGTGGGTGCGTGCGTGATGAGTGAGTGTGTGAGCGAGTGGGTGGGTGGTTGAGTGAGTAAGTGAATGAGTGAATGGTCAATGTAACTTACTCTACCATGTCACAGATACATTTGACCCTTGGTGGCACCGACAGATGTTTTAAAATCATAAGCAATATGGAAGCATTAGAAAGTGTGTTTAATAAAAGTATATATTTATACATGTATCATCGTATGTGTTCTGAACAGGCACTAGTGATGTCGTTACTTACATGAATGCATGGCAGTGACAATTTACCTGAAAATTGATATTCAATATGGCGATTGAATTTAACATTTAACACAATGCTTAAAATATGTAATGACAGCTATCAAGAAACACCCATTTACAACTCAATTGCCATGAGTGATTCATCCTGCTCTAAGAAATAAAAGAAAGAAGTTTGTGAATCATCATTCATAATGACATAACAGCGCTATTATTGTACAGAGAAAATTATGAAGCGTCGTACTGTATACTTTCTATTATGATTAATAATTCTTTAAAGGTTGAAATGGGTTTATTTTTAGGCTTTTAAAAACAAAACATTTACAAACACAAAGCATCAAAGAGTTTAAAACATCATGAAGTACATTTATAATTATTTCAAATGACTTTTAGGTCTTCTTTGATGGGCTTTTTAGAAGTTGAGGTGATGAAGAATGATGATAAGTTTATGGATATGACAACTTGTTTATTCTGTGAAATACGACGACATTAGAATCTATGTCGATACGTCGCCTTACACAGAATAAAGAAGTTGTATATCCATAAAAGTATCATAATGTTTCTACTTTTAGGTCATTAAATCTAGTTTAGCATTTTATTAAATAAAACTTGTGAAACAAGCAGAAGTTACATACTGGACCAAAGAAACGACGTATCAAGACGTGAAGTTATCATGCCTCAGGCATTTGCTGTGAACTCACATTGGTGTTACCCCAGGTCACTGAGGCCACCAATCCCAAATCTTAGGATAACATTTTTTTCAGCATGCGTTTCTTCTGATTGGCTATCACTAACAAAGAAAGAGGTCTGCAAACAAGAATGACAGATCTAGAATGATTGAACAGACACACGTGATACCAGTAAACCAAATGCCATGACTCAGTATATGGGGTTTCGACTTGTTTCTAGTGGGGGTCGTAGTGTATTTCGTCGATATGATCCCTACTTAACATTTGAAATAAAGTGCTACCAAGGTATCAATATTTAGCAATTCCTAGAGATGTTTAACAAATTTGGCCACGGGTTGCAAAGTTTCGTCAGGTTCCTGGGTTCCCCAGTCGTTCTGATTATAACTCTTTGTTTTTAGTGCTATTCTTCTTCTCGTTTGGTTTTAAAACATATAAAACCCCGAGAACCTCCACATAACGGAAATGGCACTGTATCCGAGAACCTCCACATAACGGAAATGGCACTGTATCCGAGAACCTCTACATAATGGAAATGACACTGTCTCCGAGAACCTCTACAAAGCGGAAATGACACTGTCTCCGAGAACCTGTACATAACGGAAATGACACTGTCTCCGAGAACCTGTACATAACGGAAATGACACTGTATTCGAGACCCTCTACATAACGGAAATGACACTGCATCAAAGAACCTGTACATAACGGAAATGACACTGTCTCCGGGAACCTCTACATAACGGAAATGACATTGTCTCCGAGAACCTCTACATAACGGAAATGGCACTGTCTCCGAGAACCTACATAACGGAAATGACACTGTATCCGAGAACCTCCACATAACAGAAATGACACAGTATCCTATAACCTGTACATAACGGAAATGACACTGTCTCCGAGAACTTCTACAAATCGGAAATGACACCGTCTCCGAGAACCTCTACATAACGGAAATGACACTGTCTCCGAGAACCTCTACATAACGGAAATGACATTGTCTCCGAGAACCTCTACATAACGGAAATGACACTGTCTCCGAGAACCTCTACATAACGGAAATGGCACTGTCTCCGAGAACTTCTACAAAACGGAAATGACACCGTCTCCGAGAACCTCTACATAACGGAAATGACACTGTCTCCAAGAACCTCTACATAACGGAAATGACACAGTATCCCATAACCTGTACATAACGGAAATGACACTGTCTCCGAGAACTTCTACATAATGGAAATGACACTGTCTCCGAGAACCTCTACATAACGGAAATGACACTGTCTCCAAGAACCTCTACATAACGGAAATGACACAGTATCCCAGAACCTGTACATAACGGAAATGACACTGTCTCCGAGAACCTCTACATAATGGAAATGACACTGTATTCGAAACCCTCTACATAACGGAAATGACACTGTGTCCGAGAACCTCTACATAACGGAAATAACACTGTGTCCGAGTACCTCTACATAACGGAAATGACACTGTTTTAGAGAACCTCCCACATAACGGAAATGACACAGTGTCCCATAACCTGTACATAATAGAAATGACACTGTATCCCAGAATCTGTACATAACGGAAATGACACTGTATTCGAGAACCTCTACATAACGGAAGTGACACATGACTGTATCCCAGAACCTGTGCATAACGGAAATGGCACTGTATCCGAGACCCTCTACATCACGGAAAGGACACTAAATTCGAGAACCCCTATATAACGGAAGTGACGGTGTCTCTGATACCCTCTACATAACGGAAATGACACTGTCTCCGATACCCTCTACATAACGGAAATGACACTGTCTCCGAGAACCTCTACATAATGGAAATGACACTGTCTCCAAGAACCTCTACATAACGGAAATGACACTGTCACCGAGAACCTCTACAATAACGGAAACGACATTGTAATCGAGAACCTCTACATAACGGAAATGACACTGTCTCCCAGAACACACCTTCAACAACAAAATATGAAAGTGTTCAGCTTTCAACTCAGCCATATAATGTCCGTATGACAGGCCAACCCATGTGGTTTGCGTTTACATCTTCAGTTTAATTATTCCTCGAGGTTCAGCTTATCCTGATAGTTATCCTGAAACTGAGGTTTGGATAAATTCCTTTCGTATGTTTGACGTAAACATATTGATACTATGAAATATGGTGTGTTGAAATACCCTTTTCATGCAGCGTTCGAAATCGCCCGGAGGTCCAGCGCCGGTTGTTATTGTATCGGGCCGGCAGTTTCAAATATTTGCTGGCTCTGGTGGCCTTCAGTAATTTATCTGTAATTTGTTTTCTCAACTGAAATCTTTCCCATGATTTCTTTCTGTATTAATGTTCGGGAATCAACCATGATCCACCATGTTACGATAACTTACAGTTTCACTTCCTGGTATTTCAGCGCTTTGCGCACAGGAATGTTAACACCAATCTTTATCAAATCAAAAGTTCTTTCTGCGCCATAGGCTTCGCTGATTGATGTTGTAGAAACAGTGTGAAACTGTGTATAGTGTAGTCTATTTCGTTTTTATTGGTTTGACTTCAACAAAATGGACCTGCAGATTTCATTCAGGGATTCTAGATTTTAAAGCTGGCAGGCGGCAGCAGGCAAATTAAAGTATTGCAAACTGTTTTCATGGGTTAAGTTTTGTCAAGACTCTACAGCCCATATGTTGCCACCTGTGAAGGTCCGGGTTAGAGTTGGTCTTCAGTAACCCATGCTTTCGTACGAGGCGACTAACGGGATCGGGTGGTCAGGCTCGGTGACTGGGTTGACATATGTCATCGAATCCCATTTGCGTAGATCGATGTTCATGCTGTTGATCACTGGATTGTCTGGTCCAGACTCGATTATTTACAGACCACCACCACATAGCTGGAATATTGCTGAGTGCGGCGTAAAACTAAACTCACTCACTCACTTTTCTATGTGAATAGTTTTATCATGACTTGCCTTGCCATATGTTGCCATATTATGAAAGACCAGTCCATACAGTACGTGAAAGACCAGTCCATACAGGTACTATTTTTCATATGGCATGTAGGAAGACAGCTGTGTAGCTATAAAGTCCTGATACTGAGATACCATGTGAGTGAGTGAGTTTAGTTTTACACCACTTTTAGCATTATTCCAGTAATATCACGGTGGGGGACACCATAAATGGGCTTCACACATTGTACCCATGAGGGGAATCGAACCTTCGGTGTGACCAGCAAACGCTTTAACCACTGGGCTACCCCACCGCTCCCTGAGATACCATGCTGCAAAGTAACAAGGTCATCCAACTCACAGACATTGTACAGACTCGGAATCACATGTTATCCTTGCTGTCAGGCAGGCTAACACAAATGTCCTGCTCTCTGGCACATTGTTCTGTCCACTATGCCATGGAGTGAGTGAGTGAATTACGTTTTACCAACATTCCAGCAATATCGGAGGGGGACACCAGAAACGGGCTTCACACATTATGCCCATGTGGGGAATTGAACCCGGGTCTTCAGCGTGATGAGCGAACGCTGTAACCACTCGGCTATCCCACCACCCACTACACCATGGAGATGATCCTCAAACCTTTACCTTCATTCCACATCTATGCCTAGATGACTGGTTTTCTCACTACTTGTACTCCTTGAAAAGGGGGGCGCGGTGGGGTAGCCTAGTGGTTAAAGCGTTGGCTCATCACACCGAAGACCCGGGTTCGAATCCCCACATGGGTACAATGTGTGAGCCCATTTCTGGTGTTCCCCGCCGTGATGTTGCTCGAATATTGCTAAAAGCGGCGTAAAACCATACTCAGTCAGTCAGTCAGTCCTTGAAAAGGCTGCTTGACAGAATAGCACTGCATGTAGAGAATCAGAACCCAACACAGAACAGGCAAAAGACAAAGGCCAACATATGAAACACAAAGGTTTATTTTTGATACTGTACAGGATGGCTGTGATTTTTCTCCAATTAAAAAATATATGATATATTTTCAATTCACAGAAACATATGAAACAAGCTTTTGTTCACAAAATATGCTAAGCAATGCTAGACATCACTAAGAGTGATCTTAGTGAATAAATTTCTGCTTCCTGTTTTGGATTGTTCCCCTTGGTCCAACCATTTTACCTTCAGAAAGGTTCCAAGCGTTTTGATGGAGACAAAATATTTTAATCCCAGTTTTTGACAAACCGTATCATTCCACCAATAGGAAGCTGTGTTAAATCAAAAAACAACCACAGCAGTCAAAGAGTCATGAGTTCTGGGTGCAAAATTCAGGTTTTCTTGAAGCACTCATAAAACCTCCTACAGGGCCCAGAAACAAGCAGCAACATGGTATTGAGGAACACGTCTTTCCTGGAGACTTCTCATTACAAACAGCACCTTGTTGTCATGGAATAACCGTCCTGAAGATTGCAATCTTCAAAGTCTTCTTGATTATCCTGGTGAACCATTGACAACTATGCTGCATGAGAGCACCAGCATATTTATTCCAGCTGTCTCCTCCCAGCTTGTCCAGGTGGCTCTTACAACTCGAACCACAAGAGTTATCCCCCTTGTTTCATGATGCCACAAATGTTGTACGTAGTGTCTGTAGTAAGTAACTCCCCAATTCTTCATCCTGTAAAACAAAGAGTACATTATTTACATGTAGATACGCAGCTCATGGTTTGACAGCTACATACTCAACAAAATAAGTTAGGGATAACAAAAGAATGTCCCCAAAATATACAGCCAGTATGACAGGACACCCAAATGTGTTTACCCAGTATGACAGGACACCCAAATGTGTTTACCCAGTATGACAGGACACCCAAATGTGTTTACCCAGTATGACAGGACACCCAAAGGTGTTTACCCAGTATGACAGGACACCCAAATGTGTTTACCCAGTATGACAGGACACCCAAATGTGTTTACCCAGTATGACAGGACACCCAAATGTGTTTACCCAGTATGACAGGACACCCAACTATGTTTACCCAGTATGACAGGACACCCAAATGTGTTTACCCAGTATGACAGGACACCCAAATGTGTTTACCCAGTATGACAGGACACCCAAATGTGTTTAGTATGACAGGACACCCAGTATGACAGGACACCCAACTATGTTTACACAGTATGACAGGACACCCAAAGGTGTTTACCCTTTATGACAGGACACTCAAGTGTGTTTACCCAGTATGACAGGACACCCAACTATGTTTACCCAGTATGACAGGACACCCAACTGTCTTACCCAGTATGACAGGACACCCAAGTGTGTTTACCCAGTATGACAGGACACCCAAGTGTGTTTATCAAGTACGACAGGACACCCAACTTTCTTACCCAGTATGACAGGACACCCAAGTGTGTTTACCCAGTAAATAATAATAATAATAATCTACTTCTATAGCGCCGAGTTCCAGCTAGGCTGCTCATAGGCGCTTGTGCAGTTCAGTCTATTTCATTTCAAATAGATGTGTCTTTAAATGTTTTCGAAAAGTTTGTAGACTTGGGGCGGATTTTAGCGACATAGGGAGATTGTTCCATAGCATGGGAGCTGCACATTCAAAGCAGCGGTCCCCGTATTTGGTCCTGGATGGTCTGGTGATAAGCAGATCTTTATCTTGTGATCTAAGGGTTCTTGTTGGTCTATGGTTGTTAAGAAGAGATGACAAGTAAGATGGAGCAGTGTTGGTCTTCAGGCACTTGTAGATAATGGTAAGCACCTTGAATTTTATGCGTCTGGCAACGGGTAGCCAATGCAGTTCTCTTAACCTGGGGGTGATGTGGTCTCTTCGAGGACAACGAGTTATTATCCTGGCGGCTGTGTTTTGTATAACCTGGAGTCGATGAACCAGGGAAGCTGTTATCCCAAACAAAAGTGAATTGGCATAGTCAAGGCGAGATACGACTGTTGCTTGAGTGAGAGTTTTGGCGGTTTCATCTGAAAGATATCGTCTTAGTTTACCAATCTGATGAAGATGATAGTGAGAAGACTGGCACAGTATGACAGGACACCCAAGTGCGTTCACCCAGTATGACAGGACACCCAAGTGTGTTTACCTGATGTGACCAAGACACCAGCATGTCCTTTGTCTCCTCATCCCCCGAAACCTTGATGAGCACAGAGTCCTGGATGGTGATGGAGCCATCGCTGGAGTATTGAATGGAAGAGTCCTTCAGATCACTGCAACACCAACATATCAACGATGTACACAAGAATAGAGAACATGGTTTAATGTCACTTCATGTCTAGTAATGTCAGCTTAATGTGGGATGAAACATAAACCCTAAAACCATGTGCTCAGAACTAAGCCCCTGTAAAGTTGCAGCTTAGAATCAGTCTCCAGCAACCCATGCATGCCATAAATAGTGGCCAACAGGATCACAGAAGTGGTTGACACATGTCATCATATCCTAAGCATGCTCATTTATGCTCTTTATACCAATCACTGACTTAGTGATCTGGGTGAAACATTGTTGACTGTGTCATTTAACAGCAAACAGACACACAAACAAGCAAACCAAGAAAAATGTAATTTTCTGAATAAAATTGATATTTTATACTTATCCTGACTCATGCTTATTTGCTTGCCCATTCCTCTTGCGAATGTTAGTGGAACACTTGTATCTCCTATTGAAGCTCCCTTCAATAAAAACAGACGTAAAATCACTACCCACCAAGAGTTATCTGTTGAGCCGTTAGGTGGGAAACTGTGGCGCCACCGTTCCCACATGCTTCACTCTCTCCTGATTATGAGCCCGACACTTAAATTTGCAGGGAAATCCAAAGTGTCTAGAGGGGAGGTTGGGAGGGCTGACCTCATGAGTCAGGATAAGTATAAAATATCAACTTTATTCAGAAAATTACATATTTTTCCTTATCCTGACTCATGCTTATTTGCTTGTAGAATCCGACGGATTTGGTGGTGGGTTAAGCTACTTCTGGATTTCATGTAGTGATTTACGTCATATATACCCCCCTACGGGAACTTCTTGCTGGCACTTCTATTTTACAGCTAGTTTCTGTTACTGCTGCGACCCTGTACTTCCAGCTTCCAGTTTGGTCCTTTCTGCTGTTAACATTTTATGTGGATTTTGCTACTCCATCTCTTGATGCAAGCACCAAGTGGAGAAGCGACCCTTTCCTGTACGAGTATTCTTACAAGTACTGGGTCCGATCACTTATGCTTGTCCTTAGACGTGCATTTACACTTGAAGCAGAACTCTCCAGAGAGTAGGCTATTTCCAAGTCATGTGATAAAAGGGCGAGACTTTTCGTCTGAACGCCTTTAAGGGACTGTCAACTGTTGTGCTACAACCAACGGCCCGAAAAGAGAACTTCCTGGTAGTACTTCTTTTACTGCCAGGCTCTGCTGCTGCTGTAACCCTTCACTTTCAGCTTCTCTGATGGAGGGACCACAATTGTTAACTTCTGGTCCTTGCTTCTGTTAACATTTTATGTGGATTTTGCAACTCCATCTCTTGATGCGAGCATAAAGTGGAGAAGCGACCCTTTCCTGTACGAGTATGTCCTTACAAGTACTGGGTCATATCACTTATGCTAGTCTGTCCGAGACGTGCATATAGACTCTAAAGCTGAACTCTCCTGAGTGTAGGCTTTTGCAAGTCATGTGATAAAAAAGGGTGAGACTCCGTCTCAGCGCCTTTATGGGACTGTCAATTGTTGTGCTACAACAAACGGGCCGAAATGGTGAATGCCAGAGACGTCCTCGGTGGCGATGTCCCTCGGGTAGTGGTTGGCAAACATCATGTCCCATTTCCAGAAGCAGCCCTACATTATCGTCCTGATAGAGCAATTCCCATGTAGAGTGAGTGTTGACGCCAGAGCTCTAACTTCATGTGGGTTGGAGGCTCTTGGAGGATCAAGTCCTGCTGCTTTGTAGGCCAGTAGTATGACAGTTCTGATCCAGACTGGTATCTTAGTGTGGAAGACCTCCGTCTGTGTCGCTGTCGATATCGGGACGAAGAGACGCTTGAATGTCCGCCTCCTGGACCTGGATCTTATCGGTAGACTTGCAATGCTCTCACTGGGCACAAGGATAGGTCCTGCATATCCTGTGGTCCAAGGACTGATGATAGTGTTGGGACGTGGAACTGTCTGTCTGGATGACCTAGCAGTTGATTCTTTGCTATGAAGTCCCATCTCAGTCCCATATGCACGATGTTTTGATCTCCATCAAATCGTGTTTTCTCGAAGGCCAGAGCATTTATTTCCGACATCCTTGCTGCTGTTGCTAAGGTGATCAGGAACAGCGTCGTCTACGTCAAGAACTCGAAGGATGTCCTCTCTAATGGTTTGTAGATGTCACTGGTGAGATGTCGTAGAACTACGTTGAGGTCCCATGCCTGAGCTTTAAATCTCTGTTGTTGGTCCTCCAATTTATAAGGGCGTAGTAAGCACAGTAACTCTGGTACTTTTGTCAGTTGCACTCGTCCTTATGGCGATAACTGAGCCCATTCTTGGCTATCACATTCTTGGCTCCTGGAATGTGGCATACTCTTATGTGGATGTTCAGGTTGTCTGTTATGCTGGCCAGTTGAAAGCAGAGGTCCAAAAGGTTCGCCGACGTTGTTGATCCTTCTGTGTATGTAGAACGCCACTGTGGAGTTGACTGTATATACCGTCGGATGAGCATTCTTCAAAATGCTGGTCCAGTAGAGTATGGTGTTGATCACTGCTTTCATTCCCAGCATGCTGATGTGCAGATCTTTCTCTTCTATGGTCCATATCCCAGCTGACACTTCGTTGTTGAGGTGTGCTCCCCAACCTTGGAGAGATGCGTCCACATAGAGATGCGTCTTGCCCTCCGGTTCTGTTAAAATAGGTGCGTCTGCGACCATCCGATCTCTGAGTCCACCATATTAGATATGGTTTTAGTCCATCCGGGAGTCCGAAGGGGTCCGGATTGTATAGTTGTACATTCACGAAGACCTGTAGTAGGCGTAGTTGTAGACTCCCTCTGCGTGTCATGTCCTGTGCTGACTTGAGAAGACCCAACAGACTCTGCCACTTCGTAGTAATAACGGAGAGAGTAGTGCTTGTTGTGAAGTCGATACAAAGTAGTCTGGCTGCCGTCGCCCAAAGTCCGTCCAACGTATGTTGCTGTAATTCGTCTGATGAATTGTCTTCAATGTTGACAGGGAAAGTATCTAACCCTGTGAAGGCAGCCAAATCACGTAGGTCCCGTCTAACTGGACTGTAATAGATGCCTTCCTTTCTCGTTGACAGGTTGTTGTCACTTGTAACCCATTTCCTGACATGTGAACTATGTCCGACCTCTGCGCAGGGCGTTGTCTCTCATGGTCCAATCAAAATAAAGCATTTTGATTCCTTTGACTTGCCGCGATGTGACGTCACCGGTGTAGCAGGAAAAAGGTCCTTGTAGAATCTAGTGCTGCCGTTGATATCTTATCACCACTCGGTCTTGTCCGTAGCCTTCCGGAGTTGCACGAGTGACCACGTGTATCGAGGGTTGAATGGTAAAAATCTTGTGAAATATTTCGCCGCGTAATACCGATGTAGGTAGGCTGTTTTCCTGGCTGCTGTGACTGGTACTTCAGTCCTGAAGATAATGCAGTCGCCCTTTATACAGATGATCAGCTGAAATCTTCACGCCCTCAGTGCTGCTATTGTAGACTGGATACATCGATCTCAATGAAGCGTCGTTATTGTAGAGCTGATGCTGAACTTTGTTGTAATTTCTACCCAGGGAGTCGTTGACGATTTTGTAGTTTCCTAGCCTTAGCAAGGCTGCTGCTGAACCACGCCCGTGTGAATATCTGCAGATCTGTACTGAAGTGAAGATCTCTATATGGCCTGGAGTCTTCTGATGTAGATATATCAATCTATGAGAATCCCGTCGTGGATTCAGTCTGAAGGTCCGTGCCGTTGATGAATCCGGACAAGAGTACCCCTCTTGAACTTCGTTACATGTCCCTCAGTCTTTGTGCCGACGAAGATCTTTCTCTTCTAGGGTGATGCTAGGTCCAGTCCGCCATCGTGTCCTGATTGAATATCCTTGGAGATCTGCGTAGCGATCTGCATGGCGGTCTGCGTGGTGCGTCTGTATGGCGCCCTGTGTGTAGGTGATCGTCTTGTAGTCCGGGATTGCCTTCCTGGCAATGTATTCCTAAGTGGGGATTCCCGTGATGATCTGCGAGGCGTTGTTGATGCCCTTGAGGTAGGTAGTCGGCGTGAAGGTCCTTTATTAGGCTAATCATCTGTTAACGGTCTCTATTGCGACGTCTTGCGCGCAGGTTGCTGACGACATGTAGCGTTCTGTTGAGAATCTAAGTGCAGGTTGCTGATGGCCATGTAGAATGCCCTCAGTTGAGTGTCATGTAGCGTTCAGTTGAGTGTTGAAGTACTGCGACGTCTCTGCGTTGTAGATGGCCTCTTTAACGTCCTGTAGAGCTGAGCGCCGCTGTGATCGTTGATCGTCCTTCGCTTGGGATCTGCGTGGAGACCTGCGTGAAAACCTTCGTGGAGACCTGCGCGGAGATCGGCGTGGAGAGAAGCCCGGTGAACTGTGTCTGTAAGGTGACCTGCGTGGCGGAGGTGAGCGTCTCTTGGTTCGCGATTGCCTCGGTGAATCTCTCAACGATCTATGCGATGTTGAAGATGTCTTTGAAACTGTGTCCGAAGTCCTTCGCGAGTGCCTTCGCGACTGCTGATCATCTGATTCGGCATCTGGGGGATAGACGTGTTGTCCTTCGCGAATGCTGATCATCTGATTCGGCATCTGGGGATAGACGTGTCGTCCTTCGCGAGTGCCTCGTGCAGGCTGGTTGACGTCTTGAAGCGTAGATCTATTCCCGGTCCTCAAGTTGCTGGAGGGCCTCTCTGAAGCATCGTCTGCGTTGGAACCTTCGCAAAGGTCCGGGTCCTCTCTGCGGGATGGTTGTTCTCCATCATCTCCATGATCTGCTGTTAGAACTGCTGCATGAAGTCCCCCGGGTTGAACGTCTGCGGTGAGAGATGAGCTGCCCTCTCTGCGTTGGTAGCGATATGGTCCAGGGATTGCTCATCTGACGTCAGTGTAGATACCTCTGACTGCGTAGACAACTGCGCTGATGTCACTGTTGCTGAGGCCCTCTTCTTGCGGTGATGTATCTCAGGGATGATGAGCGGCAGCTCGTCGTAGAGTCCTCTTTCTGTCATCGGAATATCAGACGAGAAAGTTCTTGTAGTCTGCGCAGATATCCCCGTAGAGTTGGTCGTTGTCTTAGGGGTGTGAAGCCTTCTCTGCGTAGAGGATGGCTTCTTCTTCTGAGTCTGCGATGACGGGATGTCCGGAGCTGCAGCCCTCTTCTTGGAGGTGGCGGACAACGTCCCACGCCCGTCCCCCGGGGACGTCTCCGGCGCATCACTTGAAGGAAGAGGGTTGTCTGACATCAGTTGACCCGTGAGGAACTCAGCCGGCTTATCCATGACGTGACAAAGCCGTCTTGCAGCACGTCTAAATACGCAAAGAAGGTATTAATTAAATGCAAAATTGGTTAATTGCTGACAATAAATGCAGCGCAAGCTGGAAGTACATGGTGTAGTGCAGCTAGGGCACAGTTGATGCGGGTCAGCAGCAGAGAATCTAAATCTACAACGAAAACAGGATTTCATGAAACATAAACAACTGAACAAACACGGACAAACCGTGAATAAACACTGCAGAATACGAATTAATTTCAACCCATATTGTTGTAAGATACTAGCTAAACCTCTAAAAAAGGTAAAATAAAGTGTAATAACTAATTAATAAAAGGATATAGTGCCGTATAGGAGACCCAGGTGCACTCCCAACCACTCGCTAGGGCGAAGAAAGAGAGAGTGAAGCATGTGGGAACGGTGGCGCCACAGTTTCCTGCCAAAACGGCTCAACAGATAACTCTTGGTGGGTAGTGATTTTACGTCTGTTTTTATTGAAGGGAGCTTCAATAGGAGATACAAGTGTTCCACTAACATTCGCAAGAGGAAGGAGACAAGCAAATAAGCATGAGTCAGGATAATGAAAAATGATAATATTTGGAACAAATTTCAATTCCTCTGTAATTGGGTGGAAGGTGATAATAAAATTAATCAGATACACTCTTCAAAACGCATTTGTGATCATCATAAACGTTAAAAAACCAAGTATCAGTGCTTAGAACATTTAGGCCTTTAAAATGTAAACTCATAACACAATCTGCACATGCCAATTCACATAAATGTCATTCCTTCGTTTGACATTTTTATGAAATGTTTGTGTATGAACTAGTGACGTAGCATCTGCATCTAAGGGCTACTGGCATTAAGGAAACTGGCAGAGGTTGTCATTCAGTGACCAGCAAGTTTACATGTTGACCACTGACACCGTTCAAGGCAACTCAGATCAGAGTCCACAACCAATTAATCCCTCCGCCTACCTCTTCAAGAGATTATAAATCTTGTCCACAGTCTGCATGATGGTCCCTGGCTCATCAACAGATACAGTGCATGTGAATCGAAGTTGATGTTCCTCCAGACCCAGCTCTCGGAATGCCTGTGCTGGCTCCACCAGCTGCAGCTTCTGAAACACCAGGTGTTCATGGGGGAATGAGTCTGAGCAGGTGCTTGGTAAAGTTCATGATGTCACACCTCCCTGACTGGGCTATGTCATAATAGATGTTTAGCTAGAGTCACACAATAACAGGTGCTTGGTTGGGGCCATGTCATCACAGCTACTGGGTTTGGGTCATGTAATTATGGGTGCTTGGTAGGGGCCATGTCATCACAGATGTTAGGTTGGGGACATGACATCTACTGGGTTTGAGCCATGTAACAGCAGGTGCCTAGTTTGGGCCATGTAACAGCAGGTGCCTAGTTTGGGCCATGTAACAGCAGGTGCCTAGTTTGGGCCATGTAACAGCAGGTGCCTAGTTTGGGCCATGTAACAGCAGGTGCCTAGTTTGGGCCATGTAACAGCAGGTGCCTAGTTTGGGCCATGTAACAGCAGGTGGAGGTCATGTAATGGTGGGTGCTTGGTAGGGCCATGTCATCACAGATGTTACATTGGGGACATGACAGCTACTGGATTTGGGCCATGCAACACCAGGTACCTGGGGTTTATATGTGTATGTGGGTTTAAAAACAATCATTTTCATAGGATAATGAGAGGTTTCATATCACAACCACCACCTCTTATACCAAACTTTCATAACAATGGAAAAATACCATGAAAAGGTTCTTGAATACAGTCACATCACTCAGACACAAAATACTGAATCTAAGCCTGTTAGTCCTTGTTTTAACCAACAAATGACAAGCATCAGGCAGGGCAACAACAAGTACCATGTTTCAACATGTTTGCTATGATGCAGCCAGATGGTCAAACCACAGGCTCCGCACAACACACATGATATTTGATGATCACATAAAGCTGCATGACATACATTGCCTTTCATCATCAAAGCTCCATGCAGGGTACGGGGCTGTTTCGGATCAGGGGGGTCAGGACCTGGAAGAGACATTGTCAGATGAACAACACAGTTTCATCAATATAATGTTCATAAGAAGTATAAATGTTAAATTTACATGTATATATTTTATAAATACATGTTGTGAATATATTTTATATATATGTGTGAAATTACGCATGGATATATTTTATATATTATATATATTTTATGCAAGCATATTGTACTTAGGCCTGTTGCCATTATACAGAATAAAGTCTTCTTCATATCTAAATTGCACAAGAGAAAAAGACATTGGAAGATCTTGACCTATTATGTCTGTTGGACACTATTTTCTAATGATTCATTGTATTTTTATGTACAAAATGTCATTGTAACATATTCTGGAATAATCTAGCTGTATCTGTATATAATCAAGTTTGGTACAGACAACCCAGTGACTGACATCATGAACATGAATCTATGCCACCATAGTACCATCACCAGGCCTGACCACCATATTTGATCTCCTATTACGACCAGTGCATGTTGCTAGGGAATAGTTCTAATCCAAAGTACCTCCAAGGGTGATGAGTGAGTGACTTTAGTTCTATGCCACTTTTAGCAATACTCCAGCAATTTCACCACAGGGGATACCAGAAATGGGCTTTACATATTTTGTCTTACCTTCATGTAAAATACCTTAATTTCATTGGTCAATGACGCTTTAACAAGTTTTCTTGTCACCTCTCCCAGGAGGGTGACAACTGGAAAAAATATTACCCGCTGCCACGGAAACCGCCAAACTCTCCGTCGAGAAGCAGCAGTGTGTCTCTAACAATCATATGACGTCATAATATGATGCATGCAGTGCCCGGAGTTCGAAACCAGTTCGATTAGCAGGTTTTTGGGTTCACTACGTACACATTTATTTTACCGACTTTTGCAGCTTTATTTAAACTATTTTATACATTGAATCATTTGCATACTTAACTTAAACATAATTAACCAGTTTAAAAGCAGTTTTAAGATTGTCAGAATATGTTTTACTGATTTTAAAAATCCATTCGAGAGGCAGATGCCATTTTGTTTACATGTCATATAGTCGGTAGCAATATTCAAAATAAAATTAAATGATATTTTGTACATTTAACATGGTGGTAAGATAAATACGTTGTACCCTTCTCCCTCGGGTATTACGCTCAAGTAATACGTACATCAGACCGTATTACCCTCGAGAGAGAAATACAAATTATAGTGACCATGTGGGGAATCAAACCCAGGTCTTCGGCGTGAGGTTACCACTCGGCAACTCTACTGCCCACAGGGTGATTAACAATGTTAGATATATCTGCTGATTACCTTGGTTGCTAGGGAACAGCTCTAACCAACAGTACCCCATGGGGTGATGAGCAATGTTTAGATATATCTGCTGATTACCTTGGTTGCTAGGGAACAGCTCTAACCAACAGTACCCCATGGGGTGATGAGCAATGTTTAGATATATCTGCTGATTACCTTGGTTGCTAGGGAACAGCTCTAACCAACAGTACCCCATGGGGTGATGAGCAATGTTTAGATATATCTGCTGATTACCTTGGTTGCTAGGGAACAGCTCTAACCAACAGTACCCCATGGGGTGATGAGCAATGTTTAGATATATCTGCTGATTACCTTGGTTGCTAGGGAACAGCTCTAACCCACAGTACCCCTAGGGGTGATAAGCAATGTTTAGATATATCTGCTGATTACCTTGGTTGCTAGGGAACAGCTCTAACCCACAGTACCCCTAGGGGTGATGAACAATGTTTAGATATATCTGCTGATTACCTTGGTTGCTAGGGAACAGCTCTAACCCACAGTACCCCAAGGGGTGATAAGCGATGTTTAGATATATCTGCTTATTACCTTGGTTGCTAGGGAACAGCTCTAACCCACAGTACCCCAAGGGGTGATAAGCAATGTTTAGATATATCTGCTGATTACCTGTGAATGTGGCTTCTCTCTTCAGCAGGTTGAGTGAGATGTCTACTGGAATGTTGTGTTGCGTCACTATGTTCACTGTCTCCCCATTGGCTGGGTTGAAACAGTCGATGTCTGCAACAAACATACTGTGACAGTGACCACAATGTGACGCCATGTTCATTGTGACATATAAACATAAGTGAGAGAGTGAGATGGGATGGACTCTTTAGAAAACATTCCAGTTACTTCAAGAAATGTCAGTATAAAATTAGAGACAAAAACCCAATTGGTGGAGTTCTGAAGATGTTAACCATCTATATTGGTAAACAGGTTAAAGTTTAATATTTTTATGTTCAAGTTACAATCATGTCTATTGATTCAGAATGTCATAACTTAAAGTTTTAAAATTTTGAGTCAATCAGGAAGTGGCAGTCAGTGAGTGAGTTTAGTTTTATGCAGCTTTCAGCAATATTCCAGCAATATCAGCATGGGGGACATCAGAAATGGGCCTCAATCATTGTATACCCATGTGGGGAATCAAACCCGGTCTTTGGTGTGACAAGCAGCAGCAGAACCACTAGGCTACCCCACTCCCTGAAGTAGTAATTGCGTGACCACAAATCAAACATGTCACAATATATATACAGACTGACCAGCAAGCAAGTTGTATCTGTTTATTGATTATAATGGTAACTGATGATGTACGCGCTTTTACAATATTCCAAATTCCTGCCTGATTTTCATTTCATTCAGAAACTCCATCTTGGCAGCTTCTCCATGAACAAGCATTAACATACCAAATTCCTGCCTGGGCTTCTCAGAAACTCCACTGAGAGATCAGCTCACACTGAGAGCATGATGCCTTTAGCATCGGCGTGGGCGCTGAACGACATGTACTGCACTGACATCCGGACATCCAACTGTGCAGAAACAAGTACATATTTTTACACAAGTGATCTCAATAATGCTTTTTATAGTAGTAGTAGTAGTAGTAGTAGTAGTAGTAGTAGTAGTAGTAGTAGTAGCAGCAGCAGAAGTAGTGTTTTTCAGTTCTCCAGTATTTTGGCTGCCCAGGAACGATTTTTGAGGCTATCAGTCACCATGTCCGGTAAAGTACCAAATTTATTTTTTGTCCTGCTTAAAAGGTTACCGAAATTGAAATAAAATTGCTGAAGTAATCCTCTAATAATAGAATCATCCACTTACGATTTTCGTGTGAGATGAGGTTTCCTTCCAAATCCATTATGCTATGCGCAATTGGATTGGTCAGTTTGGCAGTCATAAGGATGTTATCCGATTGTTTATATACCATGTATTTGTCAAAATGGCAAGCGGAAGGCAGACGACGCTCTCCAAGTTTGTATGGTAAACGTAAGGTTTCGGCTATTGAGGATGACGAAACCAACAACACTAGTAAGGGGCCAAATAAGTTCAAGTTCAAGTTGCAATCAGACATCAAAACTAAAGCCTAGTAAATTACGGAAATTTAATTCAGACTGGATATCTGAATTTAAATGGCTCCGATACAAGTGGGACAACGGAACTATCATATTTTGTGACCTGTTAGAAAACCCAGCAGAAACACTGTAGGAGTAGGAGTAGTAGTAGTACATGTAGTAGTAGTAGTAGTAGCAGTAGTAGTAGTAGTAGTATCGTTTGAGAATAATTTACAGACTCCCTTTTTGTATTCAGTAACATAGTAGCAGTAGCAATGCCTGACAGGTACTAGGAGGTTACCATCTCATCCGACTTGGTACCCATTCCCTGCTGGGTGAGCAGACACTATTTTAAAGATACTTGCCCAAGGAGATAGCGAACGTGTTTAACTTTGTGATCTTGTCTTGACTATAGTTACAGTACACTGCAGTCTGGCCAATGTGAACTTGTGGTCCACAGCAAGACTGGTGAGTTTGTCTGCTTGCGTCTTGCTTAATGCCACACTCAACAATATTAGAGCAATATAACACATTAGTCTGAATCAAACAAGGCACAGGGGCGCATAAAGCTTTTGGAGAAAGGTGGGGAGCACACTTCATTTCCACGAGAGTTTCAATGGTCATTTAATAAACTTTCAGGACAAAAGGGGTGTGTGCACACCCCTGCACCCCACCTCCGGATCTGCCTGTGAGACATTACAAACAATTATCCATGCTTTTAGGCTACAGTGACATGAACCAAGCGTTAGCTCAGTGACAGATGTGTAACAACATATCTAACTTGTGTTATAACCTACCATCTGTTTGTTTTCCATCTCTAACCTCCGAACTCCGTTGAGGATTTTATGTCCAACAGTCCCCGCCACACAATACCCTGGCATGATTACCTGTGTAACAGACATCTTCATGTTTACCTGGGAAACAGCAGTCAGACTAATGTTCCACAAACACACAAAAACTTTGAATTCTTTGAGTTCAGAACAGAATCTAACGGGTAAAATTCTCACAGACAAAATCCCCTAGGTCTTCAGAGGATCAGTAAGAGGATCACTTGGGAAACAAGACACTGCTTGAAGAGCACCTAGGAAACACACCTGAAGAAGCAACTAGGAAACAGCTTGAAGATCACCTGGCAAACAATACAAATCAATGCTTTATGATCACCAAGGAAACAACAGCTCAGCTTTATGATCATCAAGAAAACAACAGCTCAGCTTTATGATCACCAAGGAAACAACAGCTCAGCTTTATGATCATGTAGGAAACAACAGCTCAGCTTTATGATCACCAAGGAAACAACAGCTTAGCCTAATGATCACCAAGGAAACAACAGCTGAGCTTTAAGGTCACCAAAAAAACAACAGTTGAGCTTCATGATTACCTTGGAAACAACAGCTGATCTTTATGATCACAACAGTAAACAACAGTAAAACATTATTTTACACAACATCAGTTGTGATTCACACAATAGAATAACAATATACAAAGATGATAACACATTGACATCAATAACATTAATGAACATACAAGAATGTTCACCTATGTTTCATTTACAATCCTTATCAGTACTGTAACAGCATTCTATCCTGGTGTCCCTTTCTGTGATTGAATATTGCTAAAAACGTACTAAAACCTTGTAAATTTTTGACCTTCCTGATGTGGTCCTTGTGTGAACAAATCTTCACCGTACAATTATGTTTACGCCCAGAAAAATCATACCATATTGTTTTCATTTGGTGCCCACTTCTTGAAGATCTGCAGCGAGAGACCAGCGTGAAGCATCCCCGGTGTGGCAAACACAACCATCGGCCCCGGGTTCTCGATGTATGATCGGTCAAATGGCTGTAAGTAATGGGAAGGACAACATTAACACAATCTGAAGGTATGTTTCAAATGGCTCTTTTTATTATAAAGGCTTCTGTTAGCACTGCAAGAAACCAATCAAATATGCCTGGGATTATGATACAATAAACCTGAAAATGAGGAACTACTTTCAAGCTCCAGACATCTATACAATGCCCTCTTTCTCAACATGTTCAATACAGTACTGACTAACATTGAAAACAATATGTAATGTGCTTTACAAAGGCTGGCATAATATCTATATTTATCATTCATGCCTCGAAAAAAATAGACAAGCTGATGATTGATATTGTGAACAGGTATGGTTAAACGCCATCAAACAAGTCACAGGAGTCTCAGTCCATTTAGTCAAATCTTATGACCAGCACTGGTTGGTAGGGATCAATTCTACCCCAAATCCACATGGGTTTCTGAGCAACTACCTTTATGTGTTTGAACTCGAACATGTTCCTTTGAACAAAGGTCTTTTTGATTTTCTGACTGGTCCATGTGATGAACAGCTTGTAGTAGTGGTTTGCCTGTAGGGAAACAGTATCATTGTTAAAAGTAGTGGTTTGCCTGTAGGAAAACAGTATCAAAGTTACAGGTAGTAGTAAACATTTAGGGAAACTGTATCATGGTTACAAGTAGTAGTAAGCCTGTAGGAAAACAGTATCATTGTTACAGTAGTAGTAAACCTTTAGGGAAGCTGTATCATGGTTACAAGCAGTAGAAAGCCTGTAGGGAAACAGTATCATTGTTACAAGTAGTGGTTTGCCTGTAGGAAAACAGTATCAATGTCACAGGTAGTAGTAAACATTTAGGGAAACTGTATCATGGTTACAAGTAGTAGTAAGCCTGTAGGAAAACAGTATCATTGTTACAGTAGTAGTAAGCCTGTAGGAAAACAGTATCATTGTTACAGTAGTAGTAAGCCTGTAGGTAAACAATATCAATGTCACAGGTAGTAGTAAACATTTAGGGAAACTGTATCATGGTTACAAGTAGTCGTAAGCCTGTAGGAAAACAGTATCATTGTTACAGTAGTAGTAAGCCTGTAGGTAAACAATATCAATGTTACAGTAGTAGTAAACCTGTAGGTAAATGTCACAGGTAGTAGTAAACATTTAGGGAAACTGTATCATGGTTACAAGTAGTAGTAAGCCTGTAGGAAAACAGTATCATTGTTACAGTAGTAGTAAGCCTGTAGGTAAACAATATCAATGTCACAGGTAGTAGTAAACATTTAGGGAAACTGTATCATGGTTACAAGTAGTAGTAAGCCTGTAGGAAAACAGTATCATTGTTACAGTAGTAGTAAGCCTGTAGGAAAACAGTATCATTGTTACAGTAGTAGTAAGCCTGTAGGTAAACAATATCAATGTCACAGGTAGTAGTAAACATTTAGGGAAACTGTATCATGGTTACAAGTAGTAGTAAGCCTGTAGGTAAACAGTATCATTGTTACAGTACTAGTAAGCCTGTAGGGAAACAGTATCAATGTTACAGGTAGTAGTAGGCCTTTAGGGTAGCAGTATCATTCCCTCATATGTGACAGTCCTGTAAGTAAATAGTATCAATTGCCAACTGAAGTGTTTTCAGTGATTATGTCACTGATACAACAATCACATGGAAATCACCTCATCAACTATCTAGCTTTATTCATCATCCTATATTTGTTTTGTTTGTTTTTTAACGCCACACTCAGCTAATTTCCAGCTACGGCAGCTATCTGTAAACAAGCATTGTCACTAAGGTGACATAATCCCCCGCCGCAAATTATCAAATCAAACTTATAAAGTAATAAAAGTTTAAGATGAAGTTAAATGTCAACAAAAACAATATCTTGCTCTTTAGTTGTTCAAACACACACATATTTTCAAGACTGACTTTGACCTTGACATGAATGTCATAGTGTATGAAATATGCAAAACTAGTACTAAAGAAATTGCTTATTGAAAAACATTCAAGGGAGGTCTTGAAAGTCTATGAAGAAAATCCAGTGAACCGTTCTTAAAATATCTTGCTGACAATTCAAGTTAACATTCTGAAATCTTCATAGTGTCGACGTGACCCTATAAATTATGTGAAGATCACCAAAATTGACTGGGCCCTGGGCCTTCCTAGATGAAGCTTGGTGTCAAATATGAAGAAAATCCACTGAATATTTTTGCGATATCTTGCTGACTATCTTAACAAGCAATTTAACATGCTGAAATCTTCAAAGTGTCTGTGACCTTGAAACTTAAGTGAAGGTCACCAAAATCGACTGGGCCCTGCGCCTTTCCTGGACGAAGCTTGGTGTCAAATATGAAGAAACTCCAGTGAATGGTTCTTGAGATAGCTTAACATGCAGGTAAAACGTGAAAGTGAGCTTGAAATGAAGGTCAAGGTGACCAAACCTGACTTGGACCCTTCTTATAGTGTGATGAACGCAGGTACCAAATATGAAAAGAATCTAGTGAACGGTTCTTAAGATATTCCAATTCGTACGTACAGACGGAGCATAATACTATATCCACCGCTTCGCGCTAAACGCGTGGTGGGGGATAATAATCGAGACACCAGACACAATCCCAAGACTGACATCATGAGCATCAATGTGCACAAAAGGGATACAATGACATGCATAAAAAAAGTCAGCATGATCTAAATTCATTAAAACAACCAGCAAGAGCAGCTAGGTACTGAAGCTCACCTTCTCGGTGAGTCCGAGGGAGAAGAATATTGGTGCCTTGAGGTTCATGCGGTCCCAGTAGGTCTCCAGCAGGATACACAGTTCCTGGGCCCGCCCCAAGGCAAACACTGGGATCAGCACCTGTAGCAGATCAAACTGGCTTTACTGGACACAAAGTATTGAACCCTCTATATATAAAGCTGACAATGAATAAAAGGGATGGTCCTTATTTCATGTTCTTATGGTATTGCAGAAGCAAGAAGATACATTTTTCTGACACTTTTCTGTTTACATTAGTTGGTCTACATAAAAGTAGTTGTCAGGTAAACTGTTTGTGAACCAGCATTGGTTAATGTCTAAAGTCAATGACCTCACCTTTCCTCCTTTCTCCACACAATCATGAACTTTCTTCAAGAAGTCTCGTTCTCGGCATCGTTTTGAATCTCGTATAGTGGTGGCGTATGTTGACTCAGAGATCAGCAGGTCTGGACGACATTTGTCAATCCAGGCTGCACCAAGATGGCGGTCAGGAGTCATGTTGTAATCCCCCTGCAGGGACGTGGAAGAGTGCCAGTCAATTTGAAATCTAACCAATATTAATGAGGGACTAATTTGGGTCAACGAAATCATGAAACAACATAAAATCAATTTATAAAATATGGTGTGAGTAAGCAGGTTCGATCCTGACACACCCAGGATCCTAATCAGGATGATTCTGGGATTCATACCCATTTTCATAGGATCCTGGCACACCTAAAGAATGAAACTCTGCAAAGAATTGTATTGCCTCAGATGACTTAACCACCTGTGAACATACAATACTGGGCTAAAAAATAGAGAAGCACAATAATTATGGATTGAGTTCCATGTTTATCAACACTAGAGCTATAATATATTAAGAACTGGTTAAAACACTAAAATGAAGCCAGGTTTGGAAAGGCAAGCAAACACCTTAACCACTTGGCCAGCTCAAATACAGAATGCTGAAAAGAATAAGCAACATGTTATCTTATTTATACATCAGTTGTCAAGTAGTTTGAGATTTACGTACCGTATACACTACTGACTGTTGTCCAACCTTCATGTGGAACATGGCCGCTCCCAACACATGGCCTGCGTAGTAAGCCTTGATCTCCAGCTCATCATCCACCTGCCACAGACCATGATGATCATCATCATAATCATGTTCATTGATCATGATGCTAATGTGAAGTGAGGTAAAAGTTGCATTCAGCATTTTTTTACATGGAGAGGCAGAGGCCCAGATAAGCTGCGTATCTGGGTAAAGTACGCAGAGAAAATTTCCAATTACGCATTGAAAAATAATTGTTGCGTACCAATTACGCATTTAAAATGTTAGATAAAAGTTTAAAACAAATGCGTACGGAATATATTTATTAAAATCGCTTGCGTAATGAAAAAGACATTGATTGCTATCAAGTTGTACTGTTAGTATAGGACAAGTGTTGTACTGTCAGTATAGGATCAGTGATTTTTTATGAAATCATTTCCATTATATTTAAGTTGGTTTTGATTAGGTATGACATAGTTATAAGGCAGAACGTACCTGCTTAGTAAACTTATTCAGTCACATAATACTTAGGTGAGTAAAATGACTGAAATACGCACATATTTGAAAGCAGTGGGTGACAGAAAATGAAATACCCACTCAACATTCATAATACCCACTCCCAAAAAATACAGTGGGTACAGTACCCACATGAGCTAAATCTTATCTGGAACTCTGGAGAGGTTCATGAGTGTGGTTAATAGACCGGACTAGTGCTGAGATACAATTTCAGTTTAATATGGATACCCCACCCTACTGATGACGAGTATTATGACATATGATAACAAGCATTAACTACATAAGTAAGCCAATCCGAACTCGTCTCTTATGACTAGCATGCTTTGCATTGTAACATTGTTCCAGTACTCCTCAACGTATCTCTCCTAATCTTAGGAAAATCTAATAATTAATCAAATATGCCTTTAACATGAAAATATGCCTGACTGTCTTAATGAATACCAGTCCATCTGTCAGACAACTTCCCTTTGTGGCACTTGTAATCAGTGATGTGTGCCAGATGCAAGTGCCAGACATAGGTGGATCCAGATGGGGGGTGCAGGGATGCGCACACCCCCCCCCCCCCCTTTTGTCCTGAAATTTTATTGAATGACTATTGACACGCTTGTGAAAATGAAGTGTGCAAACACCCCCCACCTTCTCAATAGTGTGCAAACCACAACCACCCCACCACCACCACCCCAAAAAAAAAAGAAAAAAGAGCTGTATCCTCCTCTGCCAGAAGGAAACCACCGTCACTGTCACCTGGATTGTCTGGTGTAGGTTGACAGCCACAACTTTCTTCATACAGGACTTGATCATGTCTGAGGTGAAGAAATTCTGCTCCCCCTTCCTCTCCACGGCTATCTTGCGGAAGTCCTCCTGTAGGACAAGACATATTCCTGGCATTATTCTGGATTAATAACTCATGATCAGTACCAGTGGCAGGAAAATTGTAAAATTGTTAAATTTTTTTACAGCACTAACCATGTGAACTAGAAAACACATACTGTTTGGAGTATTGGTGGAAGGTGAATTTCAGTTAACAATGATAGGACTCTAACAAAATGAGAGAGAGACATTTTGTTCATTCTAGAGAATTCATTTCAAATTAGTGAATCTTGCCCTTCAAGGTCTTAAGTTGAGATTTTCTTGAGGTAATGAAAGCCCAACCAGAATCTTCTTGCTGAAAACATTTAAAATATTGGATGCTTTTAAAGAAAGCATTTTACATATGATTGACATCTTTCTGATCGTATTTATATTTTATGTCTAATGTAGGAGTTGTTTAAAAGAAACATACCAAAATTCAACCATGACTACATTTTTGTAAAAAGAGTCCATTATGTCAAAGTTAAAGGGACCGATGTAAATAATTTGAGGTTTTTGAGGTTCGACATAACTACAAAATGATGACTGAAAAATATGCGAGGACTAAGCTTTTACTTCAAGGCAACTGTATGTTCAACATATCAAGCAATGTTTCACTGTATTTTGCTCTACGAATATTGACCTAACATGAAATTGTGGTACAACCTAACGATGCTTATCATTATAATGATAGCATCCAGATGAAATCCTTGATGTTTTTAGAAACAAAACTTCCACGTCCCATGGTTGACACACCCACTGAATATGATGTAGAAACTACTTGTTTTCTCACAAATCTTGTTCTGAAAGAGACAGTGTGCCGAACCTTGTTTGTGTGTTAACACCACACTCAGCAATATTCCAGCTGTATGGTGACAGCCTATAATCTTATCTTACCTCACACATAAATGTCGTTTTTCTGATTGACTGACAGAGCCAAGTAATGTACCCTGCTTACAAGCAAGTAACATTTTCTATGTTACCCACTGAAAATGCCGAACTGCGGGAATTTGTTTGATACTTCGTGTTAGTACTGTGTGGGCTATTGCCTAACTCCGGTACTCCTTAATATGATTCAATACCCATGCTTGAAACAGTTCAAACTTAACATTGAGGTGTTCAGTAAGATAAATACGTTGTTCACTGGTCCCTGGGGACCATGGGTTGATATTTCAGGCTCAGGGAACATAAACAAACATAGAGGGAACCATGGTCCCCAGACAGTCCAGTCACTGAGATATGATGACATGTCTGAACCAGCGAGCCTGACCACAACCATCACCTCTTACGACAAGCATGGGTTGCTGAAGACCAATTCTAACCTGATCTTCACGGGTCAGTATCACTTGAGCTGTTGATAAATTCTATGAAATTACCCAATATCTACTCTTGATTCTCCCTTACTCACCAGTAGTATTGGGCAGATGGCCTTTGTTGGATGGGTCATATAGATGGGTCCGTCGTACCCCACCATCTCCGACATGAACGGCAGTGCCCCACAGTGGTCAAGGTGGAAGTGACTGTTTAGAAAGTTTGATTTTTAAAAATTGGTTATTGTTTCACATCACACTTAGAAAATGCTAACTACATGACACTGGCCTGTACATAATTGAATCTGGAGTAGAAAATTCAATGTACTTACAATCTGAGATACTTTACTCTCAATATAGTACTGCAAAATGAAACATGTACCCAAACAAATTTTCAGTAGTATAATAGTTTTTAATGCATGCATTGAGCTGACAATATTGCTACATATGCTTTCATTTACTGTGTCAGGCTCAGCACCTGTTTCAATGTCACCATCATCATACATAACTGCATAGTACCAAACAAATAACATGAAAATATGTTAAAATATCAATGAGTTGTTGGAATATGTTAAAATATCAATGAGTTGTTGGAGAATGATGTCACCGTTCCAAAATAAAATCACTCCATTCTGAAGGCTTTAGTTTCTTGTTTAATACTGCGCTCATTGATATTCCAGCCATTTGACAGTGATCTCAATCATGTAGTCTGGACCAGAAAATCCCATGATTGGCATGATAATCATGCTTCAACTAAATCAGAAAAATGACTACATGATTCTGTTAGTCGCCTCTTATGACAAGCATAGGTTGCTGAAAACTGATGCAGATCTTCATGAGCATGATAATGAGTACGTGAATATTATTGAACAGTAATATTCCAGCTATATCACATCAGGATGTAAGCATTCAAATCTGGACTACACAAACAAATGAATGAAGCTTCAGTAGGTACTACGACAACCTAAGGGTTCCAGATAGGCTGCCCATTTGCCATCCCCAGTATCTCCAGGGCCCCATTTCACAAAGCTATCATAGCCCTACGACTGTCGTAAGTCTATGTTACAGTGTAGAAGGTATGACAGCCATAGCGTTATGATAGCTTTGTGAAACAGTGTCCAGGCCCCGATTTCTCGAAACAAACTTAAGTTTTTACTCAAATTACAAACTGAGTTTAACAATTTCAAACAGCTGAATTTTTAACTCAACTGCATTTTTTAAATAAAAAAGAGCCCAAACAACTTAAGTAATCTATCCACCAAACTCAAATTGTCTACTAAGTTTGAGTTTAATATTGATTTCAGTTTATTCTGGGAAATGCATTTTCCTGTGTTTTCTCAAATTTGAGTAAAAACTCAGACTTAAGTCAAAACTCAGACTTAAGTTTGTTTCGAGAAATCGGGGCCAGGTCTAGCATGATGGTAAAAACCTACACTAACCATGGATCCAGTCTCAAACTATCTGTCCTAGATTTCCATCTTCCGAAGTCAAAGGAGTAAAGGAGCAAAATTTCAGTTTCCACCAAAGCCAATTCAGGCACATCCTTGATAATCTCCAGGGTATACGTTACGATCACTCTCCACTATACCCTGGATGCATCCACGGCTTATATTATATATAATTATATTACCTCCCATTGCTGGCTCCGCATTCTCACAGTAGCCAATCAGCTGACCAGCCATTACATCCGAGCTTGCCACTGTCAACAAAGATAGCTGTCGCGAAGGTTTGTTCACAGTGCCACTCAGATTTTTGAGGAAATAATACAGACAAACTGACAGATCTGAAACTTTCAAAAAATATATAAAAGAACTCCTTCTACCTCTTTCAGAGTACCTCTGCATCCATTGTGTTGCCAAGTTTAAAGGGTTAGATAATTTAAGATGCGAAAGTCAGTTGTGATTGGTTCCTGAAAGGATAAAAAGCCAGCCAAGGGAGGTAATAAAATCAGCCGTGGATGCATCCAGGGTATTGTGGAGAGTGATCCTGGAGATAATGGAGGATGATTCAGTCAGGAATTTCATATTTTGTCATTCCAATTCCCGGAAGTTTCACTGATATTTGCAGCAAGCTTTAAGCCATATATCAGCCTCTGAGAAGCTCAATATAAATCTCAACAATGGCTAAAAGTATATCTAAAGCCATGCACTTTATCACAGACCAGATCCATGCATAAGTCCACAAGATGTTCTGTCTCTCTGAGCAGCTTCACCTGATAATGACACAGTCGAGATGCTCTGTCAGCTTCTCAGTGCGAGTGATGTAAGTGAAGTCCGGGAACCGCCTCTCGTCGTTGTAGCCCATGTGCATCCCACAGTCCAGCATAATGTTCTTGCCTCCAATGGTCAACAGAATACAGCTACGACCAACATCTGTGGTGTGGGAATTATCAGTATCAAGTAAAATAGGAACATGTTTTATACAGTGTAAATAGTTTAGTTAATATCAATTTTACTCAGAGCTACTTGCCAAGTATGCTGGTATTATGTTGACATAAACATTAACAATATCTTGTCATTATAACAAAAGATTTCTTTACAAGACTTCAATTAATTTACAAACTCTGTTTCTCAACTCATTAACTAAATGTTCAATCAAAAAGTGTTTCAAAAGTTCAAAGTGGAAATGCTGAATGCTTTAGTAAGTTTGCACTCCACATAGCAATACTCCACCAATACAACCACCAACCAGTCTGTCTCACAGTCCCCGAACCACATTATTTTCCAGTCTGCCCAAATCTTTCTGCAATGCTAAAGCTCTACATGAAGCAAGTCTAGATTTCCTCAGTTTCAGTGTGAATCTCACATCACACTGGGGCTCCTTTCCAATTTAAAAGGAATTATTTGTTTCAATCCAAATTATATATATTCAGAGACTAAGCAGCCACCTGTAAATAATCATGACTGGACCAGACAATCCAGTGATGAATATTGTTCACAAAAATTCATGCTGTCAGGGTAACAGGGCATCCCATCAAACAAATCATCGAGTTTGACCCAGATCCATTATGTAGCCTTTTATATCAAGAACGGCTTTAGGGCACCTATTCTAACACTACAATGGAGCCTCGTGGTCCTTTAACCAGTACAGTGGGTGGCACATGCAACCCATCACCAACATAATTCATGTCATCAGAGTGTTTGTTTGTTTGTTTTGTTTGTTTGTTTCCAGCTATATGTTGGCAGTCTGGAAATAATTAAATCTGGACCACACAATCATGTGATCAACAGCATTGATCTATCAACTGGGATACAATGACATTGTCAACTGAGGCTGACCATCCAATCCCATTAGACACCACATACGGCAAGCATGGGTTGCTGAAGATCAACTCTAATCCAGATCTTCATGGGTCTCATCAGTGTGGATGACCCAAACCACACCCACTCATTGCAGCCACTTGTACATGGTGCACATCATTATACATTGTCATGTATATAATCCTGGGGCAGGATTGCAATTCCCAGTCTGAAGTTTAACCTCACCTTGGCCAGCCCCTGAAAAGAAACAGAACATAAAAATCAGAAGCATCATGATAAAATATAAAAATAGAATGGAAAACAAACAAAAACGTAACAAAAACCTGAAATTTTCATTTTGATTACTATGAAGTGATGATAAATGTGGTTAACAAATGGTTGAAGGAGATTTCGGCATGCAAGTTCATTCTAAAGAAAAAACTAATGCATATTATAGTTTCAATGTGATATTCATGTAAGCATTGTAGGTCAGGAGTCATGCTCTCGTTTACTCTGCACGGAAGCATGATACACCATAAAATCACAGTAATTTAGAGGTGAGGTGAAATGGGGTTTAACGTCGCACTTAAGAATATTTCGCTCATGTGACGACATGCATGTGTGTATGTGTGGCTGCTTGTACTAGCCTCAAGCTGGTTTACTAGTGCTACTGCTAGCTCACTGAGATACCATGCCGCAGTTAAACATGAATACCCCACTCAGACACATTATACTGACTCCGAGCCGACCAATCCTTGTTGTACCCATTCACATTATAACAACACCAGGCAGGCACCAACCAGTAATTTAGAATGAAGCAGTTGAACAATAATATATGTTGTATAACACATGATCTTTTTTTATCAGCACAATCGTCATTAATTTTATTAATAAAAAATATATTTAACTCATGGTTAAAGTTAAATTAAATTAAAGGATATGAACATTTCTCACATTCAAGCACATTGCATTGTGAGATAATGGTCTGCATACGCATATTTGATGCCATTAGATTCTAAAAGGTGTTCAGTTGCAATGCTTTAATGTCCACTTTATCATATTAGATGAGGTCATGTGAGAAATATGCTCCCGAGTTAACTAGAAATAACTACCTCAGTACCTAAAAATTGACTGACTCAGTTTTAGTTTTACACAATTTCTACATTCTATAAAACATCTAATTTCCGTGAAATCATACCTAGTGGGGTCACCCGGAGTTCAGCCATGATGAACCAATGATCCCAACTCTATGACAACAATACAGTCAGTGAGTATGTCCAATATCCAGATACTGGTTTGCTTTGTGTTTACAAACACTTTTCAACCTCGCGGCTTCTGGGCGCAGACATGTTGGGTTTTCAAAATTGGCACTCCTGCTGAAACGAAATAAGGACTTTAAACTTTGGCGATATCGTAATGTTAGTATTTGTTTGTTGCGTACTGTTAACAACTTTGCAGGGCGTATGTAATCATCATTCTAAAACTGACATGTGTCGAAAGAAGCGACTAAACTGGGTACCGCGCCGACACAGGGTCTAAGGGGATCTGAAATATGTTCCAAGTGTCTCATTACTAGTCATAAGAGGCAACTATAGCCTATAAATATGGTCTACTTCCGTGATTTTGTTGAGGGGTGGCTCGTCAACATGTCAATCACTGGACTCTCTGTTCCAGACTCAAACAAATCTGAGGTGTCTGTGTTAAACTATAAACAAACATACAAAGCGTTCACTCACACACCTAGGGATTGTAAACATGCAGAAGTGTCCCACTCCTTCGTTTTTAAAACCGCAGTCACATGACCAAACAATGCGGAAATTGAAACACGTTTAAGATATAGGTTCATTTACTTCCCAAATACCACTATGCATCAGACTGTCACCATGTCTTGTGGATAGAGGGTCGATCCTGGCTGCACCAATAGGTGAATATTATTATCCCTTACATTATTGCTGTCACCACTGATATTATAGTTGATATTGCAATAATGTGGGCAGCTACTGAATTCTGTACCACCATTCTTCTGTGCACTGCCACTGTAACTACATGTACATCGCAAATGAGTTAGTTTCATAATATTGTTAATGATATATCATTTCTTTGTTATCTCGTTGTTTCGCGTTGAATCATTTTGCGTTTAGTTTTCTTGGTTAACCTACTGTTTCAATCTTAGTAGGATCAACTTGTACCAAAAAATGATTTTGGAAGAGGCTAAAACATATCACCGCAACCTCTCCACATGCAGGACTGACTTAGTCTATAAAAGAAGCATACGACTTTGTCCCTCATGAATGGATTCTGAAGTCTCTTCATTGTATTGACCTTCCTGAGCGACTACTTGATTTACTCAATTATTTAATGAGTTGCTGGTCGACTCAATTTGAGATGTACTCGCAAGAGCAGGTGCAGACATGGGAATCAGATCAGACGAGGAATATCTCCGGGGGGCTACTTCTGTCCTTTGCTTCTTGTTTTTTTTGTTTTTAAAATATTGGAGCTTTCTGTTAATAAAGATGAGGCTTACCATCCAGGACCCCCTCAGCACTGATCCCCAACACCGCTTACTCATCTCCTTTACATGGATGACATCGAGCTCCTTAACGAAAGAGATACCAATTTGAAAGAACAGGTTATCCTTGTCGAGACCTTTTCTAATGACATAAGCATCTGAAACGTCTTAATTAATGATGGATCAGTCAAGTTACAAGAGGGGTGTGTGTGTGTGTGTGTGTGTGTGTGTGTGTGTGTGTGTGTGTGTGGGGGGGTTATTGAACATCCTGTGGAAGATCAGGGCTACACCTATCTTGGAATGCAAGCTCGAGACAAGCTCGAGAATGCCCAAATACAAGAAAAGTATAAAATTCGCTTAAAGAAAATCTCGGGCTCAGAGCTAAATGCTCGAAACAAGATCAAAAGCAGCAATGCTTATGCTGGAGTGCCAGTCAAATCGCCCCAGCTACAAAACGCCTCAGCCAATTTGGTCAAAATGCCCCAGATTTTTGGCCAAATCGCCCCAGGCTTGGTCAAATTGCCCCAGGGGGGTAGTGAAAATGCCCCAATGTATTTAAATTGGTTAAATATATGCCACAAATAAAAAGTTTTTGTCAACTTCCACATTATATTCTATATATAATATTATATAGTGATATTTCTGATAAATTTTCTATTAGTAAACTCATAAGACCAAAAGTAATATTCATATATAGACAACAATGAAATACCAATTATTTGGTAAAGCATTACAAGAGTATAATGAAAGGTTTGTATAATATGTTTATTGGCTGTAAATAGTATTGGGTCAACAAATGGCATTATGTAATCATAACAAGTATGGTATAATATTTATTATTTAAACATATTTATTTCCAAAGAAAGGAACCGGATTGGTAAGCAAGCTTAAGCTTATATGAATACCGCTCTGGGATACAATGGAAGGAAGAATAAACTCGTCATGATGAATGTACAATGTGAATGATATATAAATGTTACAAAAACGTGAAATAACGCCAATCATTGTTAAGCGGTATATGTCATATTAACATAATATTTCTGATCAAATCTGCCTGTTAAATTTATAAAAGAGTGCACTGAAATTAAAAGTTCTTTGTTTACTATTGAGGAGCAGCGTTGGTTTCCAAACAAAACTGATTTTCGGTCAACTACTTTAGTATAAAAAAACCATAATTTGACGTATGTATCGTTGTAAAGAGTACATGAAAAGAAATAGTGAGCAGAGTCCCCATAGTTATGGCCACAAGAGCAAGATGATGTCGGAGATATAAATCTTTCATATTTGTGCGCATTAAGGTCACTACATTCAAGCTGGAGACGAGAATGTATGATTAGACAAAATCTGCTACCGAAATTTAAGTCAAAATGACTATAGATATTAAAATCGTTCAAAATTAAATTTTTGAATCTCGATAGGTGATGGTCAATTAGTGAATATGTTTTTATAGCCTGAAATGTTCATACATTCGAGCCTCAACATTTCCTTTAACTAAACTCAGCATTGAATGTCAATTAGTGAACATGTTTTTATAGCCTGTTTTTATCCACACTGTTTGACAAGATTAATTAACAAAAGCTCTAGATTGTTTTGATTAGCATTATACCATACTTGTTGAGAAACCTATGCATTTACGGCCAATAAACATTTTATACAAACATTTCATTTTATTCTTGTAATTCTTTACAAAAGCATTAATAACATGCAAATAATTGGTATTATAGTGTTGTTTATACATGAATATTACTTTTGCTCTTATCAGTTTACTAATAGAAAATCTATCAGAAATATTACTATATAATATTATACGAAGTATATAATATGGAAATTGACAAAAACTATGCATTTATGGCATATATTTTATCATTTTAAATACACTGGGGCATTTTGACTCCCCCCTGGGGCAATTTGACCAAACCTGGGGCGATTTGACCAAAAATCTGGGGCATTTTTGACCACATTTACTGGGGCGTTTTGTAGCTGGGGCGATTTGACTGGCACCCCTTTTGCTGTGCCATTCCTTTCCTTTTCCTTTGGGGTAGTTGATTGGACAAAACAAGATATCCAGAGTCTTGACCGTCTGACCAGCTAAGGATCGTGTCTGACAACAGTGCCCGCCACCCTCGTTCTTTCTTAATCGTTTATATATGCCAATCAATTCTGGAGGTCGGGGTTTGATTAATGTGGAGGGTCTTCATGGTAGAATTTTATAGTGTACTTTTGCACATATTTATTTGTCGGATGATCCTCTGGTGATGCATGTCAAGACTCATGATGGAAGCAAGGAATTCAACAGCTATTTTAAGCGTGCCAAGGTTGTTGGACAGAATCTCAAATTTGAGATTGATTTTGCTGATGGCAATGTGCAGCGATGGGGGTAAACCAAGTGAAGCCGTTCACCAATTCTGCCAAGAGTCGGTCATTTGTGTTGAAACTTTCTGAGAAACCACTGCATCGTGGAACAAAATAGCAAGTACCGACTCCTTCTCCTGGATATAATTGGCCGCATGGTCTTAAATGTGAAATTGAGGACCGAAATTGAGGGCTTTCTTTTGCTGCTCAGGACCAGTCACTTCCCAATCGCAATCGCCAAAATGTGATTCTTAAACAAAATATCAATATGAATTGTCGACTTTGCAATGAATTTATAGAGACTGCCCAGCACCTTGTCACAAACAGCATATCTTAAACGACACGATGGCATGGCTCGTTGTTTCTACTACCGTCATCGCCATGCCTGTGGCTTTGACTCTGAGGTTCATCCGTGGTACGACCCTGAACATGTCCAATGACATGTCAAACTTCTTTGGAATAGGCCCATATACAGCATTAGAAGAATTCCAGCCAACTAACCCCAACCTTGTCCTTTTTGACAAAGCCAATGAATTTATTTATATCATTGAATTTTCTGTCCCTTTTGACAGCAGTTTGATTGGCAAGATTCAGGAAAAGCATGATAAATATGCAGACCTTGCCTTTGAAATGTCTCGCTTGCATCCCAGGTACACTGTCGTCAGGCTCCCCATTGCTCTCGGTGCCTTTGGTTTGGTACATCCTGATCACTTGGCGCAGATCAAGAGAGTGCCCGCCGGGTTCTCCATCGGGAGCCCAGCCCTTCTGACACTCAGTGTTGGGTAGTCTACATTTTCTCAGGAAAGTTCTTGGTGGGTTCGACTAGGCAGCTCTTCCTGGGAGAAGTCCCTTTCGCTGTCTGGGCTGCGTGTAGAGGGGGCAAGGGCCCTGAACTGATGATGAGCCTTACCAGCCTGACTGTGCCAGGATCACCCGAACCCTCTCTGCTGCATTTTCATCTTAATCTGTCAAAAATAATAATATTGTAGGATTTATAGAGCGCCTAGTATCCATCAATAGGTGCTCAAAGGCGCATTTACAAAAATCAGAAAAAAATCCAAGAACATATGTGCAGACAAACCCCATAGAGTCTACTGAAAGGCAATGCGAAAGCGGTGAATTTTACGAAGACACTTATAGTGGTCTTTAATTCAGAAGGTAGAGAGTTCCAGAACATGGGACTGCAAAATGAAAAAGTACGATCAGACATCACACAGGTAGATAGAAGCTGATTGAGTTGTTGATGGGAGTGAGCGTTCTGGAGAGTAAAGGGTCCTTTAGATATGATGGAGGGCGAGCTGTCTAAGGCGCCACGCTAGTCAGCGAAAGGTGCCTAGGTGGATCGATCCCCGCTTGTGACCCGGTGTTTAAATACCTAACATTACTTGCAGGCTCTTTCACTGTGTGTACTTAAAAGAACCCACTCATCTGATTTTAGGTGACCAGATGGTGGACACACGAACACGCGCAGGCACCTAGTTACGGGTATAGTAACGTGCAGTATCAATGGACAAAATACTGTGACTATGTGTCCAAGTTCACCCAGCTGCAAAATGGGTACCTTGTGAGGACGAGTCTGTGTGATAACTCGCTGCGCCTAACAAACTAGATGAATTGAATGATTCCCTGGGAGCTGAGTTGGTTAAAAAACAATGCCAGAAAAAGTGACTGAGCATGTACTTGTTGCGTGGATATGTGCGCTATGTCAGTAATACTGACTGAGTTTAGTTTTACGCCGCTTTTAGCAATATTCCAGCAATATCACGGCGGGGGACACCAGAAATGGGCTTAACACATTGTGCCCATGTGGGGAATCGAACTCGGGCCTTCGGCGTGACGAGCGAACGCTTTAACCACTAGGCTACCCCACCGCCCCTATGTCAGTAATAACTGTCGTTGGAGAGACAATCGTGAGTCATGCTGCAAATCTTGTAGACAATACGAGAGGAGAGATGGAGCCAATGTAAGGCTTTGAGAACTGGTGTTATAAGCTCTGATTTAGGGATCTTAGAAATACACCTAGCTGCCGAATTCAGAATCATCTGTAGCTTGAAGATGGCTTTGCGTGGAAGATTTGCATACATGGCATTACAGTAATCAATCTTGGAAGACACAAGACACTGCATCAACAGTGAGTGAGTTGAGTTTTATGACGCCTTTAGCAATATTTCAGCAACATCAGGGCCGTGCGTCAACAGCTTGGCGGTAGGTGTATCCAGAAGGTAATGCATATTGCTGGTGTCATTAAAGCTGTGAAAACATGCTCTGGTGACGAGGGATATGTGAGTATCCATTGTCATTTTTGAATTAAAAGACTGAACCAGACAATCCAGTGATCAAGAACATGAGCATCGATCGACGCAATTGGGACACGATGACATGACTCAACCAAGTCAGTGAGCCTGTATGGCAGCAATCGTGCACCAGGGAAGTGTATCAACACGGAGTGAGCTTTGTGGTTTTTTTTGTAATGAGCAAAGGGAAACTATTAGCCACTTCTCATGGGAATGTCACGTGGTGTTATTAAGAATATTTGGAATGTTTCTCCAATGGTTAGACAAATGTGATCATGTCTACAACATATGCAACTACCCGCAGTGCTTGTCTTGTTCGGTGTAAAGGAATATGTTGCTAGTGACATGTGACTTTCTATTGCTCATTGCAAAGGTTGTTTTTCTTTATATGTGCAAATTCCTAAATGTAAAACCACTTTTCTACTCTTTTTAAAAAAGAAGCTTCATATAGATATACACTCGAGAGAGAAATAGCGTGAGATGGGATAGATACGTAAATATACAAGTTATAGTTAAAATTTCTAAATTTTCTCAGTTTTTAATTTTCTTGCAAGGGATCAGTCAACAGAATGTTTTTCAAATAGATTATTGAAAACTACAAACAATATTTAGTCATGTATTAGTGGATGTCTGTGTGTGTGTGTGTGTTTTTTTGTTTTTTTCTGTAATGCCCTAAGAAGATAATCTACATCATTAATGTGACACATGCTATAAGGGGTCCGTTGGTAACCTGGGCACGGACCTCTAAATGCAACAGGTCTTTATCTGGAATAAAAATACCTCCAGAACCCCCAAAAAAAAAACAAAAACCAAAAACAAACAAAACAAACAAACAAACCCAAAACAAACAAAAACAACAACAAACAAAACAAAACAAAAACAAAAAAACAACCAAAAAAACCCTAAAACACACACAACAAAAAAACAAACAAACAAACAAACAAAACAACAACAAACCAAAACAACAACAACAAAAAACAACACACAAAACAAAAAACAACAAATAGGAGAAGAAAAGAAATTAACATGTAGAATATGACATGATTATTGCGTCATAGATGGGAGGATACCAAATTCCCATCCCTCTCACTCAACAACTTCCAAGCAAACTATTTTGTTTAACGAATGAAACAGAAATTGGAATCATTGGTGACACATTCATGTTGTAGGTTGCAAACTGTTTCCCATTTAAGAACTTCCATGTTCCCTTGCTTGACAAATTACAATTAAAAATATTATTAATGATATGTATGTCGCATGTACGATTCCTGTTCAGTTTTATTTTTAATCATCGTCTGGTTAATTAAGATATGTTTTTCATCAGTGATGTAATTCAATTTTAATCTTGACACACAGGGAACATTTTGTTCATTCAGGTCGTAATTATTGCTCCATTTTTTCCCGCCACAATTGCCGGAAATGACGTAGGTTCAGCACGTGCGACGTTCTGAGGACGTCGCGTCTTGTTTGGCGTCACCGGATATTGGTACAAAAAAGACATTTGGCCATGTTGTGAAGACTTAACCGATACAATGATCATTTGGCAAGTCATTATCTTACACCTTGCCTGTGGTAAGTAATTTACGTTTTTGTGAAACTATTGGTACGTTTGTCATAAAATGTCAACAGGGTCAACATCGCCTTGTCAACCTCTCGCCATGTTTTGTCGTCTGCGCGCAGTAATGGACAACCCGTGATTTAAAGCTCATGGGCCGTAAATGAACAATCAAAGGAGTGTTTTGTGTTGTGTGTTTGTTTGAACAGACTGTTATGATTAAATAACTAAATCCCGTAACATAAATGTGTTTCTTGACGCTGAATATATTGACTAGATGGCGTTGTTTTGTCTTGTCGGAAAATGGCGGCATATCATTTTTAGCCATTTTATTTTCCGTCATCGTCTAAGAGACTGGATGACCTTGAACTTTCTGAAATTGAATGACACCAAGACTGAGTTCTTGACCATCGGATCCAGGCATCAACTGTCGAAAGTGCCTGACAGTTTATCTCTTGAAATTAGACAAGATGTTATCACGCAGCCGGACTCTGCAAAAAATGGTGTCATCTTTCAATCAACAATGTCATTAGAAAATCAAATCAAATCACTCAGCAAAGCATGCTTCTACCATATCTTCAATATTAGCAAGATCCGAACCCTTTTAGACTTCAACACCGCCCAGCTTCTAACATCCAGCCATGTTCTCTCAAAACTTGATTACTGCAACTCCCTCTCTTACAACATTCCTAAACAGCTCCTTTCACAACTCCAACGGATTCAGAATTCAGCCTCCCCCGTGCACCAGCTACCAAACTGTGACACCTATCCTCCAAACTCTTCACTGGCTTCCTGTATCAAGCAGAATTCAATACAAACTTCTTCTTACACACAGCTGCATCTATGAAAACATGTTTTCTCAATATCTTAAAAGCCTCATTCATCTCCATGTTCCAAGCCCATTGCTCCCCTCTCAAACTCCCTACTGCTCACAGCCTCATGTCAAAACAGCCATGGGATCAAAAGTGTTCTCTGCTGCAGCCCCCTATCTCTGGAACATTCTACCACTCGGCCTAAAAGAAATAGAAACTGCTGGTGCTTTCAAAACTGCCCTTAAAACTTATCTTTTCAAACTCTCTTTTCCATAGACATTGTCTACAATCTTTCCTCTTTATAGCACCATTGAGCGATCTCTTTTGAAAATAGGCGCTGTCCCTTTCTCTGCACTCCTCCCTGGTAACAAATAGTGAACTGTGTCAAATTTTTAATGATAGTTTGTTAAACAACTTTTTTAAATTTTAGAACATAACTTCTGCAAACAAATCACAGAGTTGGTCTGATGTTTTGATTATGATCAGCGTTTCATGAGTATTTTATGTTTTTTAGTTTTCGAGTTAGATTGCAGTTCATCGGTCCGCTTTTGAGCCAAACGGACTGTAGTTGTTAGCTAAAGTGACTGCATTTTGACCTTGTAAAAGTAAAAATGCAGGGCAACAAAAACAAAATGTGCTCCAAACAGTCAAAACTCCAAAGCTAATTTACTTTTGTCATGATTATATTTTAACATTGTTGCTACAGGATACAGATATAACATAGCTAGCATTATAAATTCTGATAATTAAATATAGTAAATTGAAACACAGGTTGATTGAACATATAATTATTTCTCAACATGAATGGATTTTTGGGGTTCACACTGGTTTGAAAAACCATGAAATTTGGACATTTTACCGTAGGAAGGCCCAAATTATCAGTGATTTGCCACAAAAGTCCCTATATTTAGCAAAACTTGTCAAATTTAGTCATGTAACAGTAAACTAAGAGTTATTTCTCTCTGATGATGGTCCCACATTTGACCAACCTATGTGTATTCAACAGCTTACGTGTTATGTTTCTATATATCAAGCTTGTTGATTGGGCATTGAAACACCTCAAAAAAGGACTTAAATTTGAAGGCAGGTTATCTGTAAGAATCCTGTATTTTGGCCAGTTGTGAACAAAGTAAGTCAGAAAATATTCAATAACCCCTATCTGATCATTTGCATGTGTCATCTGTTTCAAGCCCCCAAAATATACGTTTTCTGAAGAAACATTCTCAGTATCAGCATTACAAATTTGAGATCAATCTGTCAGAAGTTTGCTATTTTAGACAATTGGAATATCTTTATTTCTGTGTAGTTCATTGAGAGTAAACAAAACAATTTGTATGCTTTTTTTCTTTGCTTCTTTTAGTTTTTTGAACTTCCAGCTACTAGTGTCATGTCTAAAACTTCACATGAATGGGAATAGTGAAAATGATGTTATATGTTTAAGACTTTTGTCTTTGTTAATTAAGCATTGTTATTATACAGACGTATTTCTTCTGAGCACAACCAAAGTGTTTGATAATGATTGACTTCCAAGAGGCTAACCCTGATTTTGTTTCTTTCTTCATCAGCTTAATACACTGGTTTCACCATTATGTAGTAGACATTAGACATTACAGCAGGTTTTCAGACAGACAGACAGACAGAATTTATTAAATCTTTAAGGCCTCAGGCCAATACAACATACATAGGAATTTGGGTATAGATTTATGCATGCATAATAGTGATTACACTGAAAATATTAATAATGTGGAGTTAATTGGGTAGCTTTAAAACTTGACTGAGATATTTTCCAATTTGTTTAATAGTCTTTATGTTTTCGGTATACATCAGGTTTATGAACTTGTTGAGAGTCGGTGGATAGCAATTGTTATCAGGGAATCAGAGTTGTTCTTGGCTGTACTTGTCACAAACCATCATTACATGATATTCATCCTCAATGAGAGATATATTATTAGTATAACAATAGGTGCACAGTCTACCTACCTACCCTACATTGTAAAGAGCTGTAATTGGAACCACAAGATTTTTTTTATTTGGCCTCACCCAGAACCATGTTGAAATTAGTGTTCTTGTTAAGCCTCATAAATTTTCTGCAGAATTAGAGTTGAACCTGTTCAATTGCTTTATATCAGGTTTTCCTCCCACATTGACAATGATTAAGCTGCCACACTGTGATGTAACTTGAATTTTGTTCAATGCATGATACGCTAAACGCACTCACCCACCCACCAACTCACCCACTCAAGCAAATCCAATAATTCAAGTTAGCAACTTTGCAGATATTTATTCTTTAGGGCATACTTCATCACAAATGCTTTCCCAAAATTCAATCTGTAAAATTTAAATGGTGTGAAACAGATTTACTCAGGGTTAAACAAATTTGACAATTGAACACCATTTCAACAATCAGACTGGCACCAGTTTGCCAGGTAGTTTATTTGGTTTTGGGTTTGGGGAGGGGTGATGGTCATGCTACTTGTCCCACACGACTATGAGATTTGTGAATTTGAGATATGAAGGAAGAATGAATCTGTTGTGATTTTTGTGTTGCAAATCATCATCTATGTGTTACAACCATCTAACTATTGAAATGCTAGTTACAGAATGAGATTGTTAAGTGTTACTTTTATTATTCACAACATTAAGTTCAAAGGTGATCTTTCACACATTCAAAATGGTATACCGGGTATTTCTTTTTCTTCTGCTTTTTTAATGTTTGTTTGTAGGATTAACAGAAATAGCAGAAACATTATATCTATAGCTGGTAAGAATCACATATCGACCCATGAAAACAGAAGTCATTTAAAATATTCATCTTCCTGGAAACCAATATCTTCGACTTGCAACTTAATTTTGTTGAAATAGATATTTTTTAAAGAATTTTAACAAAAAGCAAAATATCAATGACATTTTGAAAATAGAATTAGTCCAAATTGCCATTATTGAAATTCAAAAAAATTGCATTCTTGCACTAAATTAAATGATATTTATCATACAACAATAAAACTAGTAAAATAATTTGTCACAATTTGGGTGATCTCCCTTGCTTGCCCTTGAACCAAGATGTTGGGAAATAATTACTTAAATTTTTATTATTAAAAAATATCCAGGACTTTATCTTATATATTTTTTGCTGCAGTTATTTTCACTCATATTATGTGCATTTTCAGTTGTGTGCATATTTGATCCAATAATACACAAGTATACATACACTTTGTCAGAGTTTCATAGTCCAAAAACCTGTCTTCTTGCCGCCATTTTGGAAAGAGGGAGTGTTCAATGTTTCGAAATGTTTTTCTAAAATAATGTATTGTTTTGTCTTTGCATGAACTTTGTAAATCACTATTTATAAAAGCATAAGTGTGTAAATTAATGCATGGCCATACTGATTCGTTAAGGGAAATGCTGAAAATAGTATGGGTACAGTATGTCATACAGAATTTGAGGTGGCTCCATATGTAAAATTATTTCAGACATATTCTTCTATATGCTGATCAATTTTGGTACTTTAATCATCAAATGCACATTTTGTATGGAAACTGGATCTTAGCCGCTCCACTATAAAGAGGTATTGTTTGCTATGGATGTACTGTAGAGAGGCACTGATTAAAGATTTTTTTGTAAACTTGCCCTGTGCATGAAGGATAACATATAGCCAATGCCTTTAAAAATGTCAAATTCCTTCAAGGACTAAAGGACTGATGCCATTTTCTGTAGCAGGAGAATGCTTTATGAGTGGCAGTTATATATACTTTGCTAAATAAAAACAAATGTTTATATATAATATAAACATTTGTTTCTGTTTTGCAAAGTTGTTCTTAAGCAACTGTATTCTGTATATTTCAGTACTCGTTCATGGAGCTGTGGTCATCAATTTCCTTTCGGACCGATCACCCCCAAGCTCCATCCCAGCAGATGCCCAAAAGATATACAGTGTACCTCTAAACCAGAGGATTAGTAAGCCAGTAGTGGCTGCCATCATGGACAATGGAGAGCAAGCAGAAACAGGATCTTTGGCATCAGCTCTTTTTTATGTGGAGACAATAGATTCATTAACAGCAGCGACACCATCCACAACAGATCAGTGGAAGGCTGATGGAGGCAAGTTATGTCAGTGGGCATACAATGTTCGATACCCGTTAAGAATGGACAGAAGGTTTTGTGAGTAAGTATGCAGAATGAGATTATCACCATCTATAATATGATATTAATCCTTTGGATGTAATGGCAATTCCCTTACATATATACTGAAGGAAAAAAATAAAGGATCTATCTTTGAGAATGATATCTAAATTACTTACTTGATCAGAAATATACCCACACATTGCGAAACAGTTGCGTGAGCATGTGGGGGACATACTTGATACTCACTTGCTTTATTTACACTGAAAACAATTAATCAAGTCTGTTATATTTGATGTGATTGAAATCTGAAATTTATGCGATCCCTTAATTTTTTCTTCTAGTATATTTAACAGAGATGTCCTGATAGTTATGAATGACTGTTGTGTCCTGATATGACTAGCACAACATACAATGCGTATCTCAATACTTGAGTAATACTAAAACTCTTTTAGTTTGTTGCCTGTTTAATGCCACAGTCAGCAATATTCCCGCTATATGGCAGCGGTCTGTAAATGATTGAATCTGGACCAGACAGTCCAGTGATCAATAGCATGAGCATTGATCTACCCAATTGGGATACGTTGACATGGGTTAACAAAGTCAGTGAGCCTGACCACCAGATCCCGTTAGTCGTGTCCATTATCACAAGAACCATGGGTTACTGAAAAACAATTCTAACCCAGATCTTCCTGGGTACCAAGCTCCTTTTAGACGAAAAAAACCCCAAACTTTCTAAAAATGCAAACTCTTTTTGAAAAATGATGAAACTCTGCAATCTGATTGAGAAACCTAATTATTTTCAGCTGGTAATATTCAAATTGGGGGATTTTCAGTGTGCTGAATTTCCGCTGGTCCATCAGGACCACTAAATGATAAGTTTGCAGTGGTCCTGGTGGCCAGTGAAAAAATTCAAAGACGTTAAAAGTTCAAATGAATATAATAGTATTGATAGTAAAGTAAATCTACGAATGTTATTTTGGACCAGTGAAGTACAGACAGGACCACTAATTATTGTCCACTCACTGGTCCTGTGGTCTAGTGGGAAATTTTGAAAGGTTTCTGACACTGGATTTGACAGGATGCTTTAATCACACACACCGGATTCATAACTGAGCTGGCTTTACTTGTTTGGTATTCAATTTGATCTTTTAAATTTAGTGAAAAGTCTACTTCAAAAGGTTTATCTTATATGGCATTCCCAAAGTTTTCTTTCCGTATACTGGCTAAAAAACTATGCTAAATGTTTACTTTATACTAGGCACATAAAGAAACTGTGCATACAAAAATTTAAAATCTAAATTTATCCAACCTGTGTGGACACATAAGGATTTAAACTCAGAGATTAGTGACATGTATCCAACATGCATGCACATGCCACGTTCCATGACGTCAATGAGTTAGTCCTTCAGACGTGCAATACGTTGTTGCACGTGTATTCCGGAAAAGAGAAACAGAGCAAATGAATGCCACACAATACTGTCACTTTGGAAAGCTCAACCCCTGCCCTTGCGATTGTTCAAAAAATTAAACGGCTATTGAAATGCATAGCATGCCAAGGCTCACGTCTGCACAACGTCATGAGGCCATTGGGATGGTCCGTGGGGGAATGTCTCAACGACAAGTGGCTGCACATTTCCACTGCCACTGGAACACCATTTCTGCACTGGTGAGACGCTACCAGAACACAAATGATGTCATCGATCGGCCACGTTCTGGACGTCCACGTGTAACAACGCCAAGACAGGACAGATGGATAAGGGTGACCCATCTTCGCCACAGGTTTCAGACTGCAGTGATGACTGCCCGAACCATCCCAGGACTTCACCGTATCCATCCCAACACAGTTCGACAATGTTTACGTCATACGGCCTATCCTGACACAACGTCATTGACAAGCTCGCCGAATGTGGTGCCGAAATCATGTCCGCAGACCCTTGTTTGGTGGAGCAATGTTGTTTCTACAGATGAGTCCAGGTTTAACATTTCCCATAGTGATGGACGTCAACGTGCCTATAGACGCGTGGGAGAACGTTATGCACAGGCCTGTGTCTTGGAGAGGAATCCCTTTGGTGGTGGTTCCGTGCTGATTTGGGGTGGTGGAATTGGGTTTAACGTCGTGCTTGAGAATATTTCGCTCATATGACGAAGTGCATGCGTGTGTATGTGTATGTGCGGCTGCTGGTACTAGCCCAGACTGAAGCTGGTTTTATAGTGCTAGCCTACTGAGATACCATGCCGCAGTGAAGCATGAATACCCCACTCAGACACATTATACTGACTCCGAGCCGACCAGTCCTTGTTGTACCCATTAATGCCGAGCGCCAGGCAGGGACCATATTTTAATGTCTTTTGGTATGACGCAGTCGGGGATCGAACCCGCGACCTTCCACACTCTGGGCGGACGCTCTATCCACTACACCACGAAGGCGGTCGATTTGGGGTGGAATAACAGCACGCCAAAGAACTCCTTTGGTGATTGTTCAGGGCAACTGAATGCCCGCCCTCATATGGCAAAGGTTGCTATGGATTTCTTGCAACACCACAACGTTGACTTACTGCCTCGGCCTGCAAGGATTCACCGGATCTCTCCCCGATAGAGCATGTTTGGGACGAGATGGATCGACGTCAACGCCGTCTTCCTCATCCGCCAGATAACGTCCTTGACCTTGCAACAGAACTTGAGAGAATCTGGAGTGACATCCCACAAGCCTTCCTTGCACGTTTGATAGGCTCTATGCATCGTTGATGCACTGCTGTTCTCAATGCCGATGGTGGACATAACCGTTATTATTCTTGTGACATGGTAGTTTGACCCCTGTCCCGCTTGTGGACTCGTGACGTCATTGTGATTGACTTTTTCAATTGAAATTCTCCCGACTTGTTATGGTCTCATGATCCCTCCATTAAAGTTTATATGTACCTTTGACATTGTTATCGTACTTATCAACTGGGATAATATTTTGACAATGCACAGCTTCTTTATGTGTCTAGTATAGATCAGTTTAAGCAATCATATAATGCAGTCCTACAAAATTCACCAAAAGCTAAATACTAAGGCTGTAACGATTCACTCGCATATTCGGTGAATCGAACCGTAGCCCTTCATGAATTCAATTCGTTATTCGTGGTCACCAGAACCGAATATTAACGAACATTTACAATTTTTTTAAGGGAGCAGTTTTACTTGAAACCTTGTGTTCTTTCAGAAAGTCAGAGTTGCAAGGATGGAATATGTACTAGCTTTGCAGTAGCGCAAGTCATGTTAGTTTGCGAAGGTCGCACGTGGTACTGTCGACTATAACTATTACATGCCAAATTTGAGTGTCATGAGATCACTGGTTATTGGTGTGACAAATCAAAACTGTCAACATGGGTGTTCCATATTGTACATCAATCACTTAACTACAATATTGTATTTGTGAATAATTATTTGTATTCGTTATCCAATATTCATGATATGTATCATATTTGCCACATAGTGTATTCGTTGCAGCCCTAGTAAATACTACTCTGTATGCAAGCATACTCTCAAGTTCAAACCTTATTTGATCAGCCTCTCATTGAAACAACATACTTTTCCTTATCCTGACTCATGATCTTTTGCTTATCTCCCTTTCCCTTTCGAATGGTAGTGGAACACTTGAATCCTTGAAGTTCCCGAAGTGGACGTATAAATACACTCACCCACGAGTTACCTCCCTTTGCCCTTTCCCGCGCAAACCAGTCATGTGACGTGCCTTACTTGTCACTCTCTCCCTTTTCACCCAAGCGGATGGTTGGGCGAGCACTTGAGTCCCGTATACGGCATCATATCCTTTTTATTTAGGCCTATTCTTCAAAATTACGCTGTATATGGATTTGGCTATAACTTCTATGTAGTTTTTGTATAATTTTGTAAAAAAAAATTATTGACTTAGAGTCGTGTTTTCACCGTCATGTAACGTTGTTTACATTTCATGAAATCCTGAAGTGTTTGCAGGCAAAGGTTATCCGTGGCTGATCCTCACCCCCAATGTCCTTCGTGCATAAATCCATGTTCCTCCAGCTTGCACTGTACTTATTGTATTGATTTGTCAAATCTTCAATTTAATCAATATTTGTCTTATATTTATAGACGTGCCATGGATTGGGTGAGAAAGTCATCTCAAGTCATGATTGATAAAACAGCAGATCAGCCTCCAAACCGTATGTTGCTTGCAACTGCCGATGTTCATAATACTGGTGCTATGTTTAGTTACAGGGGCAGTCTGTTGGTAAGGGGGGCAGGAAGAGATCGTCTACATCTCAGTCGATGCCGTTTCAGACAAAGAAAAAGACATCATCCTCTTCTACAGCGCAGAAGAAGTCTACGGTTACCAGATCGGAGGGCAAAGCTACGCGTGCTAGCTCATCTACGCACCAGAAATCCTTCAACGAAGAGATTGTACCTCCTCACGAACTAGACGTTTTTGATGAACCCCCATTACATCTACCTTACGTATCTATGAGATCAGCGACTCAGTCGACCTCTACTACTACGAGATCGTCCCCTACTACAGTCACAGCAGGACAGCTGTTCGACGTACTACCCCTTACTTCTCGGATTGAAGTTGAGGCACATAACCCATCAGCATTCGCGAACGCTTCACCTACCTTCAGCAGCGGCAACCTATGCAGAACTTTGACCCCGGGCAATTTATGACCCAATTCACCGACCAGATGATGGCCATGATGGAACCTAGATTCCAGGAGGAATCGAAGGCTAGGAAAAGCCTCTCATCTACCGACACTGCGCGAAAACCCACAGACCTGCGCGAATCTACTCCTATTAGATCTACACCTCAAGGCTACGTTGGCGAACATACACCTTTGCAAAGGTCTCCACAGTCGGACGACTCTGTCATCTTGGAGGAAAGAAGAGATGACTTACCTACTCTCAAATCTACGTCTGAGAACCCTCAACGTTCAAGAACATCGAAGGATCCTGCTCCTACACCTAGCCGCTCTAGGTCGAGATCTCTTATCTCGCACAGACGTTCGCGAAGCTACTCACCTCAAGCC